GCATCCCAACAGTTGGAAAAAAAACAACCCCTCCAGCATTTACCAGCAGTCCAGCTGCCGTCTGGGTCACTGGGGCCCTGCCCATACAGCACGGGGCAGCCCCAGTGGCCCCAGCTTGGGGCCTCCTGTCCTCTGTTGCCCTGTGCTGCCCAGGAAGGCTCTGCCAGGAGGCCCCAGAGCCCTCCCCAGCTCCTGCTCCTGGGGTAAGTAGAGGCTTTTTTCTCTTTTTTTCTCTTTTTAAAGTGGGGTTGAAGGGGTAGCCATGGAGGTCTAGGGGTGCAATTGCAGGGTGGGGCTGGGTGGGGCAACCACTGGGGGGTCTGAGGGAGTGTGGGGTGGAGCTGAGTGGGGTAGCAATTGTGGGGGGCTGCAGCAGCTGGCAGGGGATGGGGCCAGGTGGGGCAGCAATCGGATGGCTGGGGGGGGCCTTGTGGGGGAGGCAGTAGCCCCTGTGGGGGCCATTTGGCCCTTAGGGGCTGTAACCCCTGTGTGGGGGGCTATAACCCCTGTGTGGGGCTGTAGCCTCTGTTGGGGGGCTGCAACCCCTTTGTGGGGGCCATAGCCCCTGTGGGAGGGCAGCAAAATATATATTCATGTTTCATGAATTCATGAATATATGTATTTAGAGTTCACTTTATAATTATGATAGAGACACTGGTAGGCTTCCACATTGCTTTAACACTGTAGATTTATCAATAAAACATTGCCCAACTTATCACTGTCTCTGTCTCACTCTCTCTCTCTCTTTATAGTGGTCTTTTGTTTTACTTGTGGAGGAACATGGATTTGGGGGTATTTTACAGAGTGACTTTGGGATTTTTTTTTTATCAGGGATTTTTCAGTTTTCCAATAGGGAACACTAGAATTCCTACCTGCTCAGAGCTGGCACCTTGAGCCCATCTCTCTGTGGCTGACCTCCTGGCCAGATGAGGCCAGGAGGACATGCTTTGGCAGTTCAAAACAGGCCACCACACCCGGAACATCTTCTGGGCAATAGCTGCCCAGACGGCCAGGCAGGGGGCACACATGGCAGTAGTGCCACACAGAGGCCAACTCTGCAGCCACAGTCCACTGGCAGCTGGCCCAGAGGGGCAGATGCCTCTACTGGCTGTGCAGCCCCCATCCGGGTCTGGCAGGTGCACAGCAGGTCACAGCCAGGCAGCAGCCCCCCCTGCTAGACTGCTGCAGTGGGTAGAGGGTGCAGGGAACTCTCAGGGCTGCTTCAGCAGTCCAGCTGGCACAAGGGGTAGTGTGCCCAGGTACCAATTGGCAGGGCCTCAGAAGCTCCTGAGAGCGAGTAGCCCTGAGCTACTTGCCAGGGCAGCTTTTTGTACTGCTGGGTACAGCACAGGTACTGGCCCTGGGCTCTAGTTCCCCTTGGCTGCAGATCTGAGAGGAGCCAGGCAGGGTTATTTTGCCCCATGTGGCACAATTTGCTCCACAACAAAGTGCATGACTGAGCATGTGTACTGAGACAAAAAGACCCAACTCAGATTTTCACCACTTCTTTTTGAGCTGCTGCAAGCACACGTGCTTGCATGTGTGGACGCACTCATAGAGGCGTCTTAAGTTAATTAGCCCATGAAGATATTTCTGTGCTGCTAGACTCCTTCCAATGTCTAAATTAATTCACTTTAATATGCAGTGTACACATAACCAGAAAATCAGATACTGCAGATCCTCTTCACAGAGGACATGTCTACACAAGACATTTACTGTGCAGTTTACTAATTAGCTGTGCAGTAAATGTCTCAGCATATACATGTACACCCCTATTAGGCAGGAGTAAATACAAGTACTATCCTGCTGCAGAGTAAAATACTCCACAGCAGCACATATGTAGACACTGAGATGTTTACTGCCCTGGCTGGCTGGGGCATGTGAATGCTTCAATGTGGAGGCTGCCTGCCAGCTAGCCCCACACTAAAACTTTTTTGTGCCATAGCCAGTGCGTCCACAGCACCTTGAACCCAGGGGAGCAGCCCTGGGCTGGCAGTCTGACCCCTGGGCCCTCCTGCCAGCTGGGGCTGCACCGCCCAGGCTCCACTTGTTGCGCCTGAATAAACTGCAAGCTTATTGCTCCAAAGTTAATT